ATAAAAATTTTTTTTTACAATTTTTCAATTAACTGCGGCAAAAACTATATCTAGTTAAAGTTAACCATATTTATTTTACCTTATATATTTTATTTAAAAAGTGTTGCCATGAATTAATTTACTGCAAAAACTCATTAAAATAAAATTATTGAAAAAAAAAAGGAAATAAAAACAGAAATTATATTTTTCGTTTTTGGTAAATAAAGTTTTAAATCGTTAACTTGGAAAAAGCAAAAAAAAAAAAAACACAGTTAGTTTTTTTTCTTGGTTTTATACCTTTTTTATGCCCAAAAACCGCACCCAATTTATGCGATAACGTTAATGTAAATAAACAATTTTCCATTCATTTTTCTTTTCATATTTATCTTCTCCCCTCTTGACTTTATTATTTTCTTGTATTGTGAAAATTTTTTTTTTATTTTTACGATTTATAAAAGAGAAGGAAAAATAATTTTCCCTAATTATTTTTCTCTCCTCGGTAATAATATTTTTAGTGTATATCCAAGTAACCCTCGTATGACAGTACAAAATTTATAATGTAACAACGGTATAAAACTGTAATTTAATAATGTATGTGCTATATATGTATGTTGGTATGGATTTGAAAAGAAGAGAAAAACTGTAAAAATATATGTAAAATGTAGATAACATTTGTTAAGTGACATAATAAGAATAATGAACTGAATGTCAAAATTTATTTGTAAAGGAAACTAATTCAATCCAACCCAAAAAAAAATTTTCTACTTGAATTTTTGTTGTTATTGTTGTTGTTGTAAACTCAAAATGTAATAAAATCACGGTAAAAATAATAAATTTTACGTTTTTTTTTTAATATCCTTAAAAATGAAAGTTTTTAATAAAATAAAAATTAGATATCTTTATACTTGTTGCTGTTGCTATAACGCCCAAAAATAGGCGTGGTACGTACATATATATACAAATAATATTTTTCAGTATTGATAAATTAGTCCTAAGCTCTCATATTATTTTTAAAATAATTATTAAGCCTGGTGAGTTCAGAATTCCTGAATGGATTGAAAACTTCCAAATGAATGTGTCTCCTAAGATATTAGTTGCCCATTTTTGCATAAGAGAAAAAATTTTTCACCACCACTTTTTATAAATAACTCGTTAAAATGCTCGTAAAGCTTAAAGTACCTTCAAAAATAAAATTATTACGCGCTAATGGCAAGCAAACCATTAAAACTTTCAAGTTCAGTTGAAGATCAAATTAAAGATTGAAATGTCGCCTTCGTTTACCGTTATTTAGTATAGTTTTTGAGGTATTACAGTTTGTGACCATATTTTTATATAATTTTTACATGCTTTTAACTTGGCAGAAAATATTATAAAATTATTTACATACAAATAGTTCACAAGATTTGAATGGCATAAAAAAATGACTATCAAAAACAAATTTGTTAACAGCTTCATAGATTTGTCTATTTTCAATTTTTTTTTTAATCCTTAACAATTTATCATTTTTTCCTCTTAAACCTAAATATATCCTTCCTAAATATCTATTCTTGTTGCACTCTAACAATAAAATTAACAAATCTTTTATACAAACCGTTTAAAACGGATACGCTACACACACAATACGTTAGTAACAAAAATATTTTTTAAAAATATTCAAGAATTCCATTTATTCCCATAGACCGCTTATATTTCAATCGTATAACAAAATAAAAAAGATATTTTAAGTTAATTTTAAAGGAAAATAATGAACTAAACTGTTATAATATACAATATAAATGTCAAATATTAGTTTATTAAAATATTTATGAGCTTGCACCACACTCATATACCTACATGCAATAAAATCCTAACCCTTGTATTTAATAAAATGTCACGCTTCCATTTTTAAATAAAATCATAAAATATAAGTATATGAATAAAATATACGTGTGCAATGTGCATACGTCCTCAGATTCGAAAATATTTTTTTATGGTGTTTATACATGATTAGATACAAAATAGATCGGCTATAATTTAAGAATTTTTATGGGGAACAATAATTAATCTTTAAAATTTTTTTTTGAAAAGAAAAAAAAAATACTGCAGATGTCAGTTGAATTTTTATAAAGGGAAAACAGAAAAAAATAAAAAAAAGTTATCTAAATATTTTTTGAAATCACATGTTAATTAAGTTATGAAAATTGCTTGTAGATTTATTATAAACTAAAATAATATCTGTTTTAAACCTGAAAACTGGTCAATGTTTAGTAGGTAGTTATTGCTAGATTTAAGTATCTCTACGCTCTCATAAACTTCTCCACTAATTTCTTCTTTTTACCCTTTTTATAACCTTTAAGTTTTCTCCTGTAATTTTGTGATCCGTTTGATAAAAGTGCACGTTTTACCTCACTTGAAAGTTTCTTAAGCCTTGTTGTAACTGGTTATTTAGTTTGCCCTATGTAAAATTAATCGAAATTATTGCATTTGATTTCATATACAATACATCACTCATGCATTTTCAATTTATCTCTAACCGATTTTAAAAAGCTCCTTAATTGATATTTACTGCTGGTTTCAGATGCTCGGATATTAAGTTTTTTAGTTGCTTACATAAAACGTGCTTATATGTTATCTCGTTTAAGCTTTTCGTTTTTTGTCATTAATGAATTTATTAATAGCTTCAACCGAATAACCATTCTTGACTGCTGTGTCCAGTATGAAGTTCTGCTTTTTAGCTCTTTTTTGTATTAGTGTAGATTGAATTTGAAATTAAATGCTTCGAATTGTGTGGAGTGCATCTTTCTGCAGTTGTTTTCTAGCTGAAGATATTGAATCCAATTTTTCTATGCACATTCGATTTTTCGATTCACAAATTCGATTTTTCTATGCACAATCGATTGATGCACCTGCTGATATTTTCTAGTTCTCTTTTGTCCACCATTGCGAAAACGTCTTCAACGTCCCGCATACATATTCTAGGCAACAAACATCTTATTTCCGAATAGCAATACTATTACTATTACCTTTATCAGGAAGTATTGTTCAATTCCGGCAAATAAATCTTCTCCTTTCTTGTTAATTAATAATATTAAAGAAATCAAGTTGTCTATTGTTGAGAAATAAGCTAGCAACTGCATTTACCTATAACTCTTTTCTATTTACTTATATAATTCTTTTATAATATTTAATATGAACTTTTAATTTTTCAATTACTTTATTATTATAATATTATAATTTCGCATAATACTATATAATAATTCAATTTATTTAAAAAAAAATTATTATATTATTTTAAATTGGCAGCTGTATTGCTCATTTATGTAATAATGTGCATATTCACTTAAGTACCACAATCACACACACCAAAATATACATACATATATTATTTTCGAGGAGTCAGATTAATCACAATTCTAATATAACATAAGTACACCGAATGTCTGGATTTGTAATTTCCTAAAAACCAGGAAAAAAAAAACAAATTATAAAAAATTGTAAAAAGAGCAATAATTTTTTATTTTTTTTATTTAAGAATATTCTCGCGTGACTTAAACTATTTAATCATTTTGTCAGGATAGAAAATAAAAACAGCAACAAAATAACGTGTGTGTGTGAGTAAATATTCTTTATAATGTTCTTGACATTATAAATATTGTGAAAATATTGAGAGAAGAGAGAAAAAAGAGGAACTTTTATGTTTTTTATGAAGTTCCCCAATTTACTCGTAAGTCGTAATAATAATAATAATATTAAAGCAACCCAAAAACCAACCTAGATCACAGAAGTGTATTATAACTTTTTTTTTTTGTTTTTGTTTAAGTCATTATTATTTTCCTATACTTAATATCATAGTAATATTTTGACATAACAGCCAAATAATTATTTATTTTATTTTTGACAAGACAGAATGTTTATAATGTGCTCGAAATATTTGTACTCTTGTTTATAAGGTAAATATTACGAGAGTTTGTATTTTTTGTTGTTTGTTTGTGTATGTACCTTTGTATATCGATATTGAAATTATGTTTTGCTATGCGGTTTTCAAACTATGACAGCCAGATTTAAATTATTATTTTGTTTTCTGTCTTTTTTCACTGTTGTTTTTTGTTGAAAACACGAACTTCTACAACTTAGTTATAAAAATTGAAATCTAAATTTATATGTGAATGAATATAAGCCCTATAAGCAAGTCAAAAATTTTTGATTGGCAAGTATATAATATAATAAATATAATATGTCGGTTATCATAAAAAAAAATAAAATAATTTAATGGATATTGTAGATAAATTAAATAATTTTATAATAAAATTGTGAAAGCAACTATTATAATATCAACCAAATGTTATTTATAAAGTAAAGGCTTTAAGGAAAATTATAGATGGCACAGATGTACAACGTATTAAGTGGATGTACTTGGATTTGTCGCAGAAGACTGAAGTAAAATTATAATTTATGACTGTAATCATGCGCATTTTTGTTTAACTACGTTATACAATGCTCTAAAATAAATATATTTTAATATTTTTCAATTATTGCATGAGTACACAACCTTATTCCCTATAGTACAGAAATAAAAGAAAGAAAAGTTAAGAATTGACTCTAAGGAAACTGCACGAAACAACCCGAAACTACGCGAAATTTCAAAATGCATGTATTTTACTGAAGTTTCTATTTTCCCTTACTGTATTTTCTGCAAGCGACTCACTAAAAGCATATTTAAAGATTTCTTATCAAATTTATAAATCGCATATTTTTCAATATTTTTAATTTTTTCCGGAGTAAACCAATAATAAACACTTTTCTTATGAATAGGCATAAACTATTATTCACTTTTGGCTAACTTTTAATTTAAAGTCCCTTTTAATTTCAAATTCAGAATGTCACTGTGACCAACGAATAAGAGTTTAAATATTTAGTAAAATAAATATTTAAAATCACAGTAGCTGTGGACTATCAAATAACCTCTGCCTTTGAAATTAATTTTTCCATTAAATTTTATTAAATTTTTTGTTTTTAAAATTGAAATATTTAAATTAAAAGTAATGACAACATGCAGGAGAGAGCCATTACATTATATTCCTGGGTAAGCAAAATAATTACCTTTTGCAATGTTCTAATATTACACTCGTATATTTTAAATATTCGTATAGATACACTGGATATTCTCCACAATACACTTATCGTTCAAGCGATTCTTATGGAACGTTGATTCAAAAAAATCTTGTTGATTTTAATAAAAAACATTTGGAAAAGATTTATTTATCAACCCGAGCTGATGACGAATACAAAATTGAAAGACCTATTCTTACTGAAATTGATATAGCAAAAGAACATGAAATATCAAAGGAATCGCATCGAACATTATCTGGTTTTCAGGGTTATATTCCATTTTTAGGTGAAAAAATTAGTTTACGTTATGGTATTTTAGTTGATGACAATATACCAGCAATTGATAAACAAATTTTAGAAGATAAACGAAAATCCAAGTATATTAAATATAGAAGTGCTATACTAGATAACGGTAATCCTCATAAAAGTTTGGGCGAAAGATCTGTAATTTTTATATAGCGAAATTTAAGATTTATATAATGAATTTGTTTTCATTTAAAGTTTAAGGGAAATGATTATCGATACTCACTATCCGCTCTTAGACCTGATGTGGAGAGTACTGAAAATGATGATAATATCAAAGATTTACCGGAACCACCACCACTTCCATATTCTAAAGAAAGTTATTTTAATATTTCAAACACTAACAATCATATTTCTGGTAAAAATTAATTTTTCTTATAATTATTATAATTTTTTTGACACAGTGTTCCCATTGAATAGATCCATTACCTTTTAAATGGCCTAAATTCGGTGAAGGAAATAAAGCTTATGAAAATGGAATTATATGTGATTTTGTTAATAATTATCATCATAGACGAAGTGCAGAATGGCCGATTATGAAAAATATAATAATGGCAGTTCAAAATTACAATGATTTAGAAATTTATTCAAAACATAGAGGAATCATACCAAATTATACAGGACATGTTCCGGGGCAAAAATTTTCTATTGGTAAAACATATGGAGCATCAACAATAGATGCTAAGAAATTTTTAAATGCCTAAATATTGAAATTTCTGTTAGTGCATTAAGTTAGGCAGGTTTATAATAATAGATTGCCCTGTAACAGGATTATGCGGTATATAGCACCTACTAAATCATCTATAAATAAAGGACTTGAGTTTTTCTTTTTATTTACATATTAAAATGGGAACATTATTTTTCAATTCCCATATTGAATATTAATTTTTTTTATTTTGAAATAATTGACCCCCTTAAGTCAATAAATTGAAATTACACAAATTATATAAGTTTAGTAACTTATACAAGAAATTTTATTTTCCATTAATAAATTCTATGAATACATTCGAGCATACTAAATGGCATTTTAAACAGTTTATCCTATTTATATATGCACAAACAAACATACACAAACTCTATATGTCTTATGTAAATAAGTTTACCGAAAGCTAAATAACTGTTATTGATTAATTTATTTCCTTTTAAGTACTTTTTTTTGTTTTTGTATATAAGTGTATATACATATTATATACACAAATATGCACCTTATAGTTCTGTTTAACATTTTCTTATATGAATTGTAACGAATACTACATGTAATTAATTAATTGATGTTGTTTACTGAATAAATTTCAGTTTATTATAAATGAGCTAATCTATATTACGATAATATACCAACAATATCTACACGGCACTACTAAGTATATTAAAAATGTATTTTATGCAAATAATATTCACTATTTGAAATACAGGACGCATTTTATATGAATTAGGGTCAAAATGAAGAGTCACATTAGGCTGAAATTTAAGAGAATGAGTGAAGTTGACAAAAAATGAGCGTAATATGACAGTTATTTTGATTATAAATATAAGTTGTATGAGCAAATGAGAAACAATTACTCGTTAATGTGGCAGCTTCAAGCGTATTTGAAGCCTATTTTATCTCTGTACATAAAGCCGGCTTCACTCAAACCAATTACAAAACTTTGCTTACTTGACTTGAAATATAATAGCTTAACGTCATTTTCAGGTTTTGAAAGTGACCTAGTAAAAACGCTGTTTAATTTTCGAGATGAATTCTAAACAGCTACCCAAGCTGACGAAGTAAATGTTTCAAAATCAAAACGCATTTATTAAGACTGCTAGGGTAAATAAGGATTCAAATTGTTGTCCTTCTACTGCACTCCTAATTTTTAAAAATTTTCGAAATAAAATCAACTTAAAGGTTATGATTAAAAATTTTTCGCAAACGAACATTAAGATTTTAAAGCACGAAATTTTATTTTTATCGAAATAATCTGCGACCATATATTGTTGTTTTATGAAGCGAGTAACACTGTATATATTTCACTAATTGCCATATCTACATATTATTATAATTTACCTTATGTATCTTATATTTACCTTATGTATACTATATTCTCGAATGAATACCATACAAATTAAATAAATAAATAAGCATTAGGCTTTTCCTATCCTTACGATAAGGAATTCTCAATGTACTAATAATTATTCGAAGTACAAACATATTAGACTTTGTACGTATGTAATTGAGCTCCTCAAATATTCAAATTGTTAAGAAAAACAAGAAATATGAAAAAATAAATAAAGGTACGCAATTTAACAAAAAAAAATATCCAAAAAAAAAGCCTAATTGATTCTACCTACCACATTCGAATAATAAGCAGAAGTTCGAATTCATATTTATTTACATATCCATATTTACTGTTACATATATATACATAGTATATTATAATATACATTATATAGATATGTTAAAATTTGTAATGATACAAAAAACTGGGAAAAAAAAACTGGGCACATACGGCACTGTCATTTTATAACCATGCACACATTATTATCTGCATATGCATATAAAAACCACAAAAATATTATTGAACATGCAAGTATGTATATATGTACATATACATATAAGTATAATTCATAATATAATTATGATAACCGCTAAAGTAATTGTCAACTGTTACTCATTCTGAATATTGATTAATGACAAGAATGTTAAATAGGGCCACATAAAAAACAAGGTATATTATTTAAATTTTGAGTACTTTAAGGATTGAGAATAAATTTTTTTAAAAGGGAATTTTAAGACGCATTTATAAGGTCAATTACAGGAAGTCACATTTTAATTAAAAAAAAAAAACTTAAATATATTCAATTTAATAATGGAATGATTAAATAGTTAGCACGATTACATTGTTAGCATTATTTATTAGGCGCATAATATACATATGTACGTATTCATATAAAATTTATGTTTGAAATTAAAATATGAGAAAAATAACAATAATAAAATATTAAAAATTTGCAACAACGGTATACATTACGTTTAAATCGGAATATTTGAAGTTGAACTTATTGTCCGCTGATTTGATTCTCAAATAACCGAACATACTATTGTGTATATTAACTGGATGACATTTAGAAATTTCGAAAAATGCATTCCTTTTCATCTAGTGAATGTATTTTAGGGGATCGTTGATATTTCTTTCATAGTCAATTTTCAAAAAAAAGGAATTAAAAATCTTGTATAGTACCCTACTAGCACAAAACGAGAACGATCTACAAAGGCTATTATTCAAATTTAAAATCATAGCTCAATCATACAACATGAAAAAATCAATTGAAAAAACCAAGTGTATGACCATCGCTAAAGAACCACATTGATATAAACTGTCGATTGATGATCAGTCAATTAAACTGGTTATAAGTTTCAAATATCTTGGAGTAAAATAACAAGCCATCGCGATATCAACAAAGAAACACACGTTTAAACAGCAAAAGCCTCCGCAATATTGGGTTATCTCCGCGCTGTCATATAGAAATATAAATATATGCTATTAGAAAATAAAGTACGCGGCTACAAAACTTGTGTACGTCCCATAATGATATATGCAGTTGAAACAAGAGCAGCCACATCAACGACCAAGCAAAGGTTCCGAACGGCTGAAATGCAAACTCTTAGACCAAACCTGTGGGTTAACTCCCTTAGACAAAATTAAAAGAAGTGTAGATATAAAAGAATGAAAAATTCGGGACGTCGTTCGATGGAAAAGATGCAGACGGCGCTACTGGACGGACGATGTGAATAGAATGAACGAACACCGGCTACTCAAAATGGCTATGGTTAATAAGCCCGATACTTAGGGGAGACCGCCTAAAAGATGGCACGAGTGCTGGACCTCAACATCCCAAGAGCAACAAAGTCCATAAAAGAAAATATTGGGTAAACAGAATTGCCTGCCTAAAACAAGAAGAAGAAGAAAAAGTTACAAAATTTTTACAAAGTACCAGAATACAATGAAGCACTTGTTTAATGCGGTGAGCGCTTATTCGTTTAAAATGTTATGAAATGTTTTTTTTTTGGAATCAATGACTCCGAAAATCGACGGCCGAATTTTGTGGGGTGGGGTATATTTCTTGTTTTTCAAAATTACATTTACATTTATTTACTTAAAATAAATTGTAATTGTTTTTTTTCGTTGAATTTAATTAATTTACTATTTTAAAGTTTTCTAATTGTGCAAGTACAAAAAGGGTAAACCGAGGAACATATATAATCTAGTATTATTTTAGACACCTTATTCTTATAAAATTCTTTATAACTACAATTGAAATATTTTTTTGTTATGTTATCTTTGAAAATTTCAATACCTTCTTTATTATCAATTCTTGAAATATGCATGTCAATAACGAACTTTGGTATTTCTAACATAGAGGGATTTATCTTATCATAAATGTCTGATCAAATTATCCATTTAAAGTCATTTATTTCATTTATAGTAAAGTCTTCTTTATAGTTAAAAGAAACTGCATTATAGCTTTTAATCACGAAACACTTTGAAGGAACATCTACCGATTTTAGCATAGTTAATTGTAAATCATCTGCATTGATAAGTAGATTTAACAATTCGCAACACGATTTTATACGGAAGAGAGAGGTACAAAAAACTAATATTTTTTCAGGATCCATGTCAGGGCGTACATTTACTACAGATCTACCATGAATATATATTGACTTTATGTAATTCTTATCGTAAACCACAGTAACTTCATCAGAACAATTTGGGGAATATTTGTTAAAATTCTCCAAAACATTCAATTCTAAAAAATAAAAAAAAATACGTTTAATTATTCATTTTAACTAAAAAACTAAAAATTTCGCAAATGTCTTTTTTCCGCACTTATTATCGATTGCTTTAAACAAACGAGTAAGAGCAGAAAAGAACATTTACGAGTTTTAAGAATTTTGGAGCAATTCCTCACTTAGTAGTTCTTTCCAATGAAAAGAGACCAGTGAGGTTAATTTTTTTTTTTTTTTTTTTTTTAATGCATTGAAATTTCTAAATCTTTATAATCAAATGTCAATAACCAGTTTCTACACAATTTTGAAAATTTATTTAATGTGCACTTCCTTAATTTCCTGCGTTAAATTATTGTAATATTTCGGAGCTAGAAAATCATAAGATTTTTGAAAGTGGGTTACTCTGCTTAAAGGAACACGAACTAAGTTTTGACTATTTATCCTTAGAACTACAAAAGCGCGAAGGTAAACAATTTTTACTTTTATAAAATTTAATTAAGCACTTATACGCAAACATATTGCCACATCCACAAAAAAAAATCCAACGTTTTCTTGAAAACTAAATGCCAGGAACAGCATTTTTTAATTTTTCCAACAAAAAAAATGCGTTTGCTTTCTGACAATTTCCTGCAATATAGCCAAGCCACTCTGCAAGTGCATTCAATGTGATCGGTGTTGAGATGTTTTGAACAATTTGCTTATCTTTCGTTTATCAACCATACAACATTATTAACCGGTTATTAATTGTAAAAAAAATAAATCAAATAATTATTAGCACGCAAACTAAATCTGCATTAAAGCTATTTAATTACTTTATATATTGAAATAATGATTGTGTATATCAAGTATAGACAAACTTGAAATGGCGTTTTTTATGTAAAATAATTTAAGGCAAAATATGGGAAAGATTATTATTAATTTAAAATTTAAATAAGTTTA